ATTATTATTATTATTATTATTATTATTATTATTATTATTATTATTATTATTATTATTACTACTATCATGACCATTAATTTTTACCTATACTTTTACTCCAATTCATTCTCTTATCTTTATTATTGTGATCTCAAAAGTGATTTGTTAGTGTCAGTTGGAAATGTGTGTTATAATTTAATTCGTTGTGTAGTCGAAAACCACCTGCTATTACTGTGTTATTGGAATGTTTATCCCATCAGCAGATTTGATTATTATTACTATTTGCGTAGGTGATCAAATAATACTCGGTTAAACGATTTATTTCATTCAGTCGAGTTATGACGCGATTGATAAAGTTCACGAGAAGTGATCAAACCTTCAAAATTTATACATCAGTTGTTCGTTTCTACCCGAGTGAAAATAAGTCACACAGGTGTTCAAATTGTTGATAACAATAGTTCTAAGCAAAAACAAGGAATGAAATGCCTATAAAAGTGTTAAGCAGAATACGATTATCATTAACACTTGATCATGGCTAAAGGTGTCGCCTCTCTATGCTGTTATGTTCTGCTTCTCGCATTCGTTGTCGATGCTGTTCATCAGGTTATTTCCCTTTGAAGTGGCTCAGTTGGGCCTTTTCTCAATCAGTCAAATTTCAATATTTTCATTGGATTTATGTCATGTGCGCAAATGTAATATGACGTTTTTACGGAGAAATATTGACGATGGAGATAGAGACAATACTTAATGAATACTTGAGATATGGTTACTTTGAGATTTCATTCGAGCCTTGAGAGTGACAATAGAAAGTTTGCTGAAGAAAGAAATCATCTGCTGAATAATCGGTTGATATGATCGTTGAGCAAATATAAATAGCAGTGAAGTGAGAGGGCTTATCGGTCAGTAAGCAAACCTACTGCTGATTATTTAAATTGAAATCAGAATTCTTTGAAAGGATGTGTTCGGGACCATAGGATGTAGTGAAGCTGAAAGAATTACTCCAGCCAACAGCAATGAATCAGAAACTTTAAGTGCTTCATTCAAGCATCTTCTCAGTGATATTGTATTTTCAGCAGCGCATTCATAACAAACCGATGGCCGTAGCACCAGCTGATTCAAAGGCAATGTACTCAGAATATCTCTTCGAAGGAGACATCAGTTAGTATTAATATATTTGTAATTGAGTTCGCATTGGGAATATAAACTGAGAAATTTTCAAAAATATTTCACGTCTTTACATGATCAACCTCCATATACGATTGATCAAAATCCAAACATGGAACGAGAACGTCTACTGATTGGTTGAACAACTTCATGAGACATTCATGAATATCAGTGAAAAGACATCATTATTTTCATTTCAGCAAAGATGAGTATTTTCATTTCAGTGACTCCGTACCTGAAACAAGGAAATAATGCGCTCAAGAGCTCAATGGGTTCCTTCTTTGGAAATGCGCTTCAGAATCGCCAGGCAAGATGGGAAAATGGAACCGTGGTGTATACGATTTCGAACAGCTTTTCCTTAAAAGAGTGAATATTTTGAACACATTTTAAAGAAAATATATGAATTGTTGAAGTATTGCACTGGTATGCAAAACGATCGCGAATACAGTTTCGTCTTTTTAAACATATATGTGCTGTTTAGGGATATTTATAGACACCGAAATCATATTTGAGGGGTTTGTCTTTTTAACAACTTAATCAATCGATTCCCTTCCACTTGAACGCTTTAGTAAAGAGGTTATCGGTGCTGCTATGAAAGATTATGAAGCGTACACTTGCATCACATTCAAAGAAAAGGAAAATCAAGATACGGATTACGTCGAAATTATATCAGGTGAAGGGTGTGCGTCGTCGGTGGGTAAAATAGGTGAATTTTTACAAACATCATTCCTCAAATTTATGATTCGACGTGGTCAGCAATCTGTTTTTCATCTGCAAAACTGTTGAAAAAACTGATCTTTATTGTATGTTGAACATTTTGCACATGCAAGCAAGAGCGATATAAAATAGTTTAGGTGGCAATCAAACATTAATTCTTGGAACTGGATGTGTCTTCAAGGGAATCGTCATGCATGAATTGATGCATACACTTGGTTTCTATCATGAGCAAAGTAAGACGAATTTACCTTGTTTAACTAAACTTATCTTAATTTCAAACAATTATTAGCAGTACCTCATGAACGAGCAAACTGCAAATTTCACGAACAGCGGCAAATGAATACGCAGAGTTAAACTTTGGCGTTTAACTACTCAAAATTATAATAGAGAACTTCTCATTCATATTTATTTATTCATAATCACGTCATGCAATTAGATCATCCATACAAATTTTCATAGTAAATGCTCACTGATTAAAAATTTACTGTAACTAACTGTAAATTAAAAGTTTTCGAAATCTGTTTGAAAATTTGATACAAGTTCTTTGTGGAATGGAATCAACTTCAGGCCGTACAGACAGAGATGCTTACGTGACAATTAACCTCAATAATGTCAAGCCTGGCACTGAAAGTTAGTTTTTAAACAGCTCTTTGGTTTCTATTAAACAAAAGTTCTCCATCTGAAGCGTAATAAAAATGACTTCGCTGTTGTATCTGTTTGTATTCAATTTGCCTCAGCTGTAATCTATCGATCGTTTCATTTAAAATTTCAGCTTTGTTCGCTCACTGATATAATTATCTCATCTCAGACGTTTCATCATCAAAATACTTCTGACAATGAGTTCTTTTCAGATAACTTCGACTCCTACGGTATCGATCTAATCGACGCTTTGAATACCACATACGACTATAACTCCCTAATGCACTACAGCAGCACTGCATTCAGTAAAAACGGGGAAGCTACTATAGTTCCAAAGCAAACAGGGATGAAGATTGGAAATAGGAAGGGACTGTCTTCTACGGATGCAGAAAAGATTAACAAGTATTATGAATGCCCAGGTACATTACAAAACGTTCTCTCATTATCGAAACTAAACCTATTGTCATATCCACATATCCTGCTGTTGGTGTTTCGGAATCACGGTCATCAAAGGACCTTATCATTTTTGCAATTGATTATTACCCACAACAAAATGGAAATTAATAGCCTGTTATTCGCTGTTTACAGTTATAATGAAGTTAGAAATGATAAACGAATTCGCTTCTTTCAGATACCTATCCAGCTCCATCGGAGGTAGTGTTGTAATTGCAAAGAAGAACACTGCAAAGTTGAAAGTAATATCCCAGTCTGTGAATGAACAGTGCCAATGCTTGTGAGAGTTAAGATTAAACATGGCACCCTTGTTAACTGCAACTATAATTTTTTTGTTCGATTCAAAATTCTTCTTTGTAAAACCTATTCATGCTGACAATAAAGTTTTTATTCGCAGTGCTCATTCAAGAATACCTCGAACGAATATTGCATCAGTCACATGAACATAATTACTTAACTCACACAGTTGCTAATTTGTTGGGAAAAGTACTGCTGCTTAGCTAAAAATAATTGGCTGTTAGCGCCGCTGACGAAAAAGTAGCGAAAACTTCCCGCTGAAAATGCCGCTATCCGAAAAAGTATCGGTACTTTTCCATAAAATGCTAATCAGCAAAAGTAGTCCGCCAATCGCTATCACCGATCGCTACTTTCGAATCTTTCAAAAATTGCAATCACGCTGCTTACTTCTCAGCAAAAAAACCTCATTATGCCATTAAACAGTCAAAAATTTTCATTCGATCATTCAGCAACAAAATATCGTCTCAGCAGTAAACACGAGACAACAATGAAAAAATAACCAAGCAACTAAAACAAATGAAACGCAATCAACTGGTAGTGGCGCGGATTACATTCTCTCATTCTCTTTTGAGAACATCAACACTCTATCCATTTCATCTGAGAGTACGGACTGTTTGCATCTTATTGAATCGACTGTATCAGTCACTTATGGTGGAAATCAGTGATCATCGCACCTATACATAGAAAAGGTGTTATTCTTCACACTATCATCCCATCTGCCCAATTTCTAAAGTTTTGGAAAATTAATTGCAGCCAAACTGAGAAGCTTTTTTTCAATGAATAATCTGTTTTCCCTTTTCAAATATGGCATTCTCGATAGTTCAACCACTGCAGTTCTATTTCGATCCTAGCAAAATTGGGTNTCTCATCGGACAAAGAAGGCTACAATTGGCAATAGCTAGCTGACATTTGGATCTTATCGTATCGTCTAACTCAGTGCTGAGATGAAAAGCAGCGAGCATCGCACTCATATATTGAGAAGGTTGTGGAATTAAATCACAAAACAACCACCCCACCCCATCTTATCAACCTACTCAAGTTCTAAGAAAATAACTCCTTCCAAACTGACAAATCATTTTACAATGAATGAGCTTTTTCTTGTTTCCAATATGCTTTTCTAGGTAGGCGATCAATCACAGCGGTTCCATTTTGATTGCAGAGAGGACTAAATCCGCAATGAATTATAATTTTGGATTAAATGAATACGTAAATTGTCTTCGTTGATTTGGGTTTATGAAGAGCGATTGTAATAAAGATCTTTCCTAACTGATCACTGTTTTGTTTCTGATGAGGATGCCAAATTTCGCTTGTATATTTGAGAAAGGGTTTCGCAAAACATTTACAAGCTCACGCATAAACTAGGAGGTCATTATTGCTTAAAGAAATGAGGAAAGTTGCGACATTTGCAATAGGCTTCATTGAGAATGATGTTGATGTATTGATCAAATTTTAGACCACGTCAATCAAAATATCAGTGCATTTCATATGTATCTAAGATTTACGAGACGTATCTATGCTGTCGAGCAATTTTATTCACTGCAAGAAATATCAACGATTTTCTGAAGCCATCTCACATAGCTAAGTGGCTCATTGTATCTGATGGATTACCGTACACAAGAGGGTAGTAATATCAGCACCACCATATTCAAGCTAGCGGTATGTGCTGTCCAGCACGGATTTATTTCAGTTGGTATTAGTATGCATGCGACTTTTACTGCACAATAGGTCAACACTCTTCAGTTTTGAGTATAAATTCGTTTCTTTCTGTGAGTATAAATTTGAAGTTGACATATTTTTCACCTCAGGTGAACTGATTTGTTTATCACTGGTTTATTTATCGTTGCATGGATCACAATTAGCTGCGAGTATATGCTTAGTTACTCAAATTGAATTAATTTCAGCTGAAATGCTTCTCCTCGTTCGAGGGTGCAGTTGTTAATATGTGAAGAGAGCTGTAACACAATGTCTTCATGCATGCCATGCCTGACGCGTGTTCTGTGCGTGTTAGACCAAACTGCAGGATTACACAAATTTATTATCAAAATTAGTAATGCAACTCTTGATGTGCTTTTAAATGGTATCTTAAAATGATACTTATTGTTTTTTGATTTGTTATCATAAACGAAATTGCCAAAGAATGGCTTACACAACGGTAAAATGATGTCGCATTGATTTCTCACTCACGTTATGATATCTTCATACAGTCCTTTAGCAAGCACAGCACGTCCATCATAAACAGATATCGGGTGTCAGAGCGTTTCTTAAGAAGGTTTCGAAGTATCACAATGGAAGTTCCGAAGCTGTAGGCCACGTTATTGGGCACGTCTGTTAGCGGTGTGCAGAATATTACTTATGTGCTCATGTGAATGCGTTGAATTTTGCAAATGCGACTTTCAAATTCGTTCGTTGATCTCGAAGCGAAGATTATGCAAAACGAACAGTGTTGTTGAGCCGTTTATTTATGGATATTCAATAGCGCATGTTGATACGATTGTCACTGTTATCATTTTGGTTGTTGTTGTTATGTGCGTTATGTCAGTAATAGTTTCACGGCTTGTTTTGTCGTCGGTCAATTCCGATAGAGATTTAAGGATCATAGCGGGCTTGGTGCTAAAGAGCCAGTTGTGGTTTTAGCGTTGAGTGTATCTGCAGCTGTGACGCCACTCATTAAACGTTGTTTTAAAACGTATCGCTCATGATTGATGCGACTGTAAAACTGCGATCCTTTTTACATTTATGTGACTTTTGGACTTTCGTTGTGCTGTTAAGTTTTTATATTTGCAGTCGAGCAGTTGCGTTTGATTGCAGGGTATCCGTTTTTGGAAGGAAACGTGAAAGAGCACATCATGGATGTGCCAAAAATAAAACCTGACAATTTTGATGGACGACTTGGACATATCATGGACAGTGGCAATAATCAGTCGACTTTCTTTTTGTATGTTATACCAGAAACAAGTGTTGAGACGCGCGAAAAAATCGACAAGTTGTTTTCCAGTAATGCTGGCAAATTGCAGTCAATTACAGATACTGATATGCTTCAGAACGGTTCGGTTCTTTGTTGAAATTAAGTGTTTTGTTGATTGAACGATATGGCATATTTGTGAGGTTTTAATCGAAATTATAGGGTGAATTGAACAAGTAACTGAAACTTTGAGGTAGTCTACTGCATGTGCAACACCTTTTATGGCTCTACTCTGGTATATCATCAGTCCATAGAATAATGTCATTTTTCGTCACAATATTTATTCAAGGATTTATAGGACGTATCTATGCTGTGTGCGTTGAAGGGCAGTATGAAAGGGCATGGTTCTTAAAGTTGGGTGCAGAAGATAATCACTTAATACATGTAATGTCTATTGTTTCAATTTATGTTTCATTAGGTAATTATGTTGCATTCATTTGAATGGGTCATTATTTCAAAAAATTACTCATTCAAATGGCAAGTAATTGGAGAAGAGTACTTCTTTCCGCCGTCATCAATTTTGTGTATTTTCAACTTATCTACCCATGTTGACAGTTTTGAATATTGGACAGATGAGTTTTGCATATCCTTCTTCTACCTGCTGGCTAGTTTGAGAATCTGTATGATTGGTTGTTGAGCATTTGTGTATCTTCCGTAGTTAAGCAGTTACTATTAATTATTCAACAACAAATTTAAACATTCGGTCTTCAGATGGTGCTGATGGACAAAGGATTGGAGAAACAAATCACTCGTAATGAAGTATTGAAGTGTCCAAAAGAGGCGTCAGGAATCGATGTTTTTGGCGTAATGTGTCCAGTTTTGATCAGTAATGCTAATGAAGAAGTTCGTTTGGTGGCTCAAAAATTGACTGGACGTAAATGCCGTTGCATTGCAGGTTTGTATCCACTGATAATTCTCGCACTAAAATCTGCATTAGCATTAGGATATGTATGAAAAAAAATATTTGTAATTGTCAAACAGTTTTTTTAGTAAGTTCTGGTAAATATTCGAGCAGACTGTCCTTGAATTAGATTCTGTTCAGATCAAGTGATAAATGAGACGTCAGCAATTCCATACCTAAAGGGACGTATTTTGATTGAATACGAAAGCGGAGGTTATGCCGAATTGAAGGACATTGCGTTGAAGCCGATCGAAGGAAAAGATTGTGCAAAATTCGTTATTGAATGTGGTTGTGGGTTATAACTGATTCATTCCTTGAATTGCTAGAGGCCTTCATTGATTTTTATGGCACCGCAATTCAAAAAAAAAGACCAGCTGCATTTCAGACTAATCTTTTTGGAGCGAAATTGTAAATGGGACCTTTCTAAATCGAATGGCATACTTTTTTTTAAACCTGGGACCTCAAAAATTCTATTGTATGAAAAAATTTGTTGTCTTGATTTGCATACAACAGCATAAGGGGAAGAATTGTCATCTTAATCCATGTCGACCTCATCATGCGGTCTTAGAAAGTTTTTATTTCAGCAAATTCGGTAACGTCAAACAGCAATCGGTCCAATCCATTTGGCCAATTGACAAGTAAAAATTAATTTGAGAGATTGTCATTCAGTTGAATCTTCGTGCTGCAACTTATTCTGAGTACAATTTTCATTAAAATTCGTTTCAAAAATACATTGTTTAAAAAGTTATTCGGTTGCTTTTGTTCAGATGCACAAAGAAATGCGTTCAGTTTCTGGAATGCTGTCGCTAGCGATAATAACCAAATACCACGTAACAATGTGTGACTTTTCACATGTTTTAATATTATCTCTTTTCCATTCACCTTTTTTCCCAATACTTGTGCGTTATGATATATATATATATATAATGATGTTCTCAAAATTATTCATTCATTTGCGATGGTTATATCGACAGTCTAGATGTGAAGTGTATACGCGTTCCGCTTCTTTTGAAATTTTCAAAATGAATTCCGCATCAGTGCAGAACAGTACCT